CACTGTTTTTTTACCTGCTTGGTAGCCCATCAGTTTGCAATCCTTTAGGTCATCACTACGTATGTTAAGGCGAAGGTGGTCCTTGATAAGCTGTAGGGTGGTCTCCATGCAGGTCTCTTGGGTGACTGTGGGTGGGAGATGTTTGTTGTTAACTGCAACAGCGTCAGATAGCTGTTATTGGTCATTATGGTCTTGGAAGTTGGTTATGACATTGGCAAGTTGTTGGTCCACTCTTGATCTTTCCTCTGTAATGTTGGTAGTAAGTAGGGTGACTTGGTCTTTTAGAGTGTTGATAGTGTCTAGGGACTGGGTGTGGGTGTTGCTTTGTTGTTCCAGAGTGTCTAGTTTATGTTCTAGAGCAGTGATCTTGTTGAGGTAATCTGCATTGCTAGCTTTTAGTTCCTGCATTTCTTGAGTTAGTTTGGTGATCGTTTGGTTCTGAATCGTAAGGAGTTTAGCTATTTCTGGGTCGGTGATCTTCTTGACATCAAATACTGGGAAGAAGTTATCTTGGACTGTGACGGCGGCCATGTTTGTTGTTGTCTGTCGTGTGTTGTGGTGGTGCCGGTGGGTGATGAGGGTTGTGTCCTGGCTGGCAGTACCACAAGTTTCCTCGTGTTTTTACTGCTCTCACCTTTGATGTTAGGAGTCCTTAGCTGGTTACTAGATCTTCTTTTATTGCTCTGACCCTTGTCCATTGGCTGTGGCTTTGGGTGAATAATAGGCGATGGGTGAATGTTGTGGAGTATCACTTCAGTGGCAGCGGGGTAGGAGGTAGTACGAGTCCTATTAGTTGGTAATTTGTGAACTTTTGGGTGATTTCTGCAGTTGATTTATATCATTCTGGGTATCCACACATGTTAGTGTTATGTGGGTCTTGATTAGGTCATCACTGGGCTGCTGGGAACCTCAGGTAGAAGTAAAAATAGAGGACAAGGTTCCTGTTGCCGCTGCCACTGACTGTTTTGAAAGTATCTAGTAACTATATATGTGTATATATATTATAGAAACCAGAAGAAAGAATGGAAGGCAGGAATGAAGGAAGGATGAGATCAAAGGAAGGAAAAAAGTAAGGAATGTAGGAAGGAAGGTAGGAAAGGAATGCAGGAAAGGAATGCAGGAAGGAATGATGACACACGACCATTTACCTAGGATAACTACATAACACAACTGCCTGCTAATACTTTGAAGAAAACTGCTCAGACGAGGTGTTTTGTCTTTGCACATAAAAAAGACTTCCACAAAAATGCGCACCATCCCCCCAATGAAAAGCAGGGGTGTCACTAGCACGTTAAGAGACCATACAATAAGTGTCAGGGGCCCAAGACTGTTCAACTGCCTCCCAGCACACATAAGGGGGATTACCAACAGACCCCTGGCAGTCTTCAAGCTGGCACTGGACAAGCACCTAAAGTCAGTTCCTGATCAGCCGGGCTGTGGCTCGTACGTTGGTTTGCGTGCAGCCAGCAGCAACAGCCTGGTTGATCAGGCGCTGATCCACCAGGAGGCCTGGTCACAGACCGGGCCGCGGGGGCGTTGACCCCCGAAACTCTCTCCAGGTAAACTCCAGGTAAACACACTGATTTTGTGTGAGGAGTGTAAAACACCAATGTGTATGACACCATGTTTCAAAGAGTTACACAAGCTGCAGAACTTCTAGGAATATACCCAGTGACTGTATATTGGTATATATACAGGAAGGCCCCGCTTTACAGCGTTTCACTTTACGGCGATCCGCTAATACGGTCATTTCAAATTATGACCAAAACTCGCTATACGGCTCCCCCCACCTGACTTTCTAATACGGTCACTGCGCCCCACCTTGTTTGTTTACATTCTTCGTGAGCTCAGTAAGCACTAAGTCTCTCCATTTTGTCTGGAAACTCCAAAATTTCAAATGTTTTTAAAAGTTATTTCATATTTTATATATACTCTGATAATTATACTTATGTATACCTGTACTTAAATAAACTTACATACTGTGCTGGCATGCAGGTACACATTAAAATCAGTAAGAGTGTCTTATGTCTCCAAAAGTCATATTAGTAATGATAATAAAATCATCGTCTCATTAAATGTCGTATATACGTTAAATACACATTTTCATTAATCCATCTATATTTTTTCAAAATTAATAATAAACACGATACATAACATAAAAAGATGAAAATACACCCCACAAAGAATAAATAACATAAATATGAGATGTGGTAGCAGACCCACTTGCACAAGTGACGACATATTAGAAATGCAAATAATAATAATAAAAATCACCGAGTCTTAATTAAATGTTGTATATTCGTTAATATACACATTTTCATTAATCCATCCATGACATTTTTTTCAAAAAATTTTATAATAAACACGATACAAAAACATAAAAAGATGAAATACACCCTACAATAGAATAAATAAAAATAAATATGAAGATTGGTAGCCAGTAACTTGTACAAGTGATGCCAAAATAACATTTTCTCTAATCTAACATAAGAGAAAATGTGTTACTGGGGGGGAACTGTAGAAAATTATTCCTTTCGTATGTATGTAAGTTTTTTTCAGGTATACACAAAATTACAGTTTTCATAGATTATCATACATAACATATGTGTAAAGAACCTAGGATAACCCAAAAAGTCCGAGTGACTTATTTGCATTGCCTTCACTCAGAGCATCATTTCTTCTCAAAATGAGTTACATGAGAATGGGAGCGTTCTTCTTTATTAATTCTACCGTATCAATGTAGAGACAACCTGTACACAAGTAACTTGTACACAAACCCAGACCGTGTACACTTTGTTTGTTTTACAAAACTTACGTTTCGCCTGGTTTTTTTAACATAACTCTGCGCCTTTTCCCCTCTCATGCACTCATTCTCTCTCTCATTTTTTCGTTTATCTCTTTTAAACTTACTCCTGCCCCCTACATAAAGACTACAAATATTTTAAGGTAAGTAATGAGTGAACTGTATATACATTTTATCGCTCTGGGATGCTTAAATATCATAGAATTGTATGTGTGGGTGGGGGTGGCCTGGTATGGTAGCCTGGCTGACTACCATACATACCACACTTGATTTCTTACAATAAATACTACTTGTCTCACCCTAGATTAAGACTATAAATATTTTAAGGTAAGTAATGAGTGCACTATGTGTGTATTGTACTTTTTATTGTTTTTTGATGCCTGGTTCTATTGCTAACTTAATACAGTATTTGTTAGTGTAAACTTGTTATCTAGTGTTTGTATGCATTTGTAAGTGGAAAAAAAGGGTGTTCCACTTTACGGCGGTAGTCTGGAACCTAACCAGCCGTATAAGTGGGGCCTTCCTGTATTATAGAATAGTAATAAAAAATTTTTTGTACTGTTTGTTTTTGTAAACAAGTTTTGTAAACAATATATTGATAATTATGTTTGTGTGCTTATTGTGTTGTATACAACGAGTGTATATATGTACATTGCACCTTACTTTGGTCTCACAGGCCACATAAGTTATGTGAAAAAATAAAATAGTGAAAAAAAAAAAAATTCAAATACAAGTAAACCAAAGTTTACCGGGTGAGCGGCAGTTGCCGCTGTTGCCACATGCAGCTCATTTTCTGCAAACTTCATGCCTCTATATCTGGGTAAGTACTGATGGGAAAATTTTTTTTTTGGACTAAAACAATCAGAAAAATAATCTTAACATTTTCATAAGAAATTTTTTTTTTTTTTCGAATATTTTGCGACACCAGGAGACACTTCAGGATTGGGCCTTTCGACAGTCAAAGGGTTAAGGAACCTCCCTTGAAGGGGAAGTTTGCATCCTGAAATTTCTTTCACATCCTGAAGCAAAAAATCAACCGAATGACAGTTCGTAGCCTGAAAAATTCGCATGGTGGATCGTTCGTAACCTGAGGTTCCACTGTATATCGTTTTTTTTGGAAAAAAAAAAGGCACTAAACTCTCATAAGTTGTAGAGTACTGCCCTTCCTTGTGCCTGGTAAAAAATGAAGTATCTCCTGCCTCTGCATTTTCCACAACTCCATTGGGGGATGGCACATCACTATTATTACATTTGCAGAGCTAGCGCTAAACCCATAGGGGTCATACAGTGCCTGGGGAATGAGAAGTAATCAGATTGATTTACATGGGCTTAACATTCAATCTCCCATTTTTTCTCTATCCATCCACCAAAGAAGTATACTTCCAACCTTACTGCCATGCAGCAGCAGATTCGCCTTCCAAGAGCAAAAATGAGGAGTATACAGGTTTCCATGCGCAACATGCATGGGTACAGCCACTGGCATGGGAAGTCCCAGCCAGTACGAACCAACGTATGGAACAAGAAGCTGTAATCTCAACCACGGAAAGGAATCTGTCCTCTGGAGGATAAAGAGGCAAATTTAAATTTCAGTTTTTTTTTTTTTTTTAAATTACTGGAGAATTGTTTAGTATCACACAATTAGTATGAGCTCATGGAAAAAATCTGATAATTGCAAACTGTATAACAAGTAAATTGGAATTAATGCCATGTGAAAGTTAGAATCAAGGAAAATTCTAGTATAGAAAGAATATAAGTTAAATTTACTAGAGTAAATCTTCTTACTGTGCTGTGCATGGCCTTGTACTCGGAATTCACGTGTCAGGGTTTGTTGGGCACTTAGCTCACATACTGTAGTTCAATCCTTATCACAAGCGAAACATCGGAAATTTCCTTGCACTGGCTGCGTCTGTTCATCTAGCAATAAGTACACACCTGGGTGTTAGCCGACTGTTGTGGGTCACATCCCAGGGATGGTAGCATACCTGAGATGGGGCTGGGTTTTGAAATCAGCTGAGGTAGGATAACAGCTCTTAGCCTGTAAAATTGTTCTGTGCAACAAAGAAGGGGCAAACAGACATCAATTGTGTTATCTGAGATCATACAGATAACCAACACTGGAAGGGTAGAAGGCTTATCTACTGCAACCTCCTCCTAGAAGTTCGATCATATAAAAATAAAGGAATTTTATACAAATTAATTTTCTCATTTAGTTTTATACAAGAAACCTTACAAATAAATGTTATATGTACTCTGTATACATCAGAGAAAATTCCTAGTTATCCAAAAACTTTAGAAACAGCATATTAAAGAATTTACTTATTCTTCACTCATCTAATAAATTGTTTCTATATGCCAAATCGGGAACACTGCTGCATCTTTTCCATATATAAATGAGGATTACATGAAACCTCTGGTTCAAGGCCAAGTGTATCGGTGAAATCCAAGTCCAAATCTCGACCTGTTAATGCCTGAAAGTGAGCATCAGACTTCGGCAGGAAGCCTAAATGGCCAATCTCGGGACATGCAGCCTGAAAAAATATAAATAGGTAAAAATCAATTTTAACAAATATATAAAGATAAAGGAGGCGTTTGGGATAGTGACAGTTTGGAGGGTCTTCTAAACTGTCGTATCTGAGCGCCTCTGCATAGTGATTATGTGCAAGGTGAAAGTGTTGAATGATGATGAAATTATTTTCTTTTTGGGGATTTTCTTTCTTTTTGGGTCATCCTGCCTCGGTAGGAGATGACCGACTTGTTGAAAAAAAAAAATATGTATACATATTTATACAGTGGACCCTCAGTTATCGGCCATAATCTGTTCCAGAAGGTCTGCCTAAAAGCGAAATGGCTGATAACTGAAATAATACTTCCCATAAGAATTAATGTAAATCCAATTAATCCATTTCAGACACCCAAAAATATTATCAAAATATACATTTTTTAAAGATTAACTATAGTTTTACATACAGAAAACAATTATAACTAAATAAAATGAGTAATTAAATGGATAAATGAACATTTAAATCACTCTTATCTTTAATGAAGAGTCTTGTTGGTGTATGCAAAACGGAGAGGGAGGCTTAAATATGATGCTATTAACTCTACGGCTTATTTATCTATCAAAATCCATCTAATATGACATAATAAACAATATTAATAACATAGAAACAAGATATATAGGCAGGGCAGCATATATTGTCAGTGGCCCTATATACCTCCAACAACACTGGAGGAGTCGGTTTCGTGTTGTCCTTTTTCTATCGCTTAACTTACTTGCTACACTGTTAATGCTACACTTCATCACTGGCTGACGCTATAGCCATTACTGACTCCTGCTGCTTTAGTATCATACATATCACAATCACTGAATCATCGAAGAAGGCACATTCTCCCCTCTCTCTTCCTCCTTCACTCTCATACTTTTCAACACCTTTCCTAAAATTCCATCGTGTTTCTCACTTTCTTTACCAAAGGAGCTTTACTAGGAGCTTTATTTGGGCCCATGGTTGCCTATTTCGCAGTTGCACTTAATAACCACAAAAACAATGGATTACAGTGAAATATTTGGGTGAACGAGCAGAAGCTTCCTCACTCGCCCAGAGACAAAGCCAGACTGATGCGAGCGGCTAGCAGCGGCGGGTTAACGCATCCCATACGGCCAATAAGTGAAATAACAGCCAATAGCCGGAAGCCAAAAAAATGGCCAGTAAGCGAAATGGCTGATAACTGAGGGTCCACTGTACAGTGGACCCTCTGTTATCGGCCGCCCCTGTTATCAGCCAACTTGGTGATTAGTAGTTATTTCGGTGATCGGCTGTTTGGGACACGTCCGTCCTCCAGCTAGGCCGCTTGCGTGTCAGTTTGGCTGTGTCTCGGTGTGTGAGGAAGCTTTTGCTCATACATCCAAACATTTCGCTTATTTTCCATTGTTTTTTGTGGGTTTTTTGCAGTGCAACTGCAAAACAAGTAAGCATGGCTACAAAGAAAGTTCCTAGTAAAGTTCCTGTGGTAAAGAAAATGAAAAACACCATGGAATTTAAACGTGTAGTGTAGCAGGCATGCAGGGAGTGTAGCAGGCAAGCAGGGAGTATAGCAGGCATGCAGGGAGTATAGCAGGCATGCAGGGAGTGTAGTAGACATGCAGGGAGTGTTACAGGCATGCAGGAAGTGTAAAAAGCATGCAGGGAGTGTAAAAAACATGCAGGGAGTGTAAAAAGCATGCAGGGAGTGTAAAAAGCATGCAGGGAGTGTAGCAGGCATGCAGGGAGTGTAGCAGGCATGCAGGGAGTGTAGCAGACATGCAGGGAGTGTAGCAGGCATTCCAGAAGCCAGCATTAATCTTCAATAAAGGTATGTAAAACTGATTTAATTGTTAAAAAAACTATTTTTGGGGGAATATTTTTGTCTGGAACGGATTAATTGTATTTACATTAATTCTTGTGGTAAATATATTTCAGTTTTCGGCCATTTCGATTTTAGGCCGAGCTTCTGGAAAGGATTACGGCCAATGACCAAGGGTCCACTGTATTAGAGCACAGAATCTCCAACTACAGTAAAACACAGTACTATTTTCAAACTTCAGATTTTTTCAGTCAAAAAGTGACAGCTAAATACCAGACAAGATATACAAAAACTTACAGCAGATCTTTCGTGCCGAAGGTGCAATGCAAATCCAATTCCAAAAACTTTATTAGCAGAAGTCAGCCTCAGTTGCTCCTGGCGCTTGTGATAAGATCGTTCTGAAGCTTCAAGAGGATGCTGCAAAGACGTGGCTGGTGCACGACGCAGCAGGCCCACCTCTGACCCATAATCCTTTTCTTGCACCACAATGGGTTCAACCTTTAGGTTTTGTGGAAATGCCTGAAAAAGTACAGACTACTATAGAATACTACAAAAAAAAAAAATATATACCCCAAAATATTAAAGATGTTTGTGCTGCCTGATAGGAGGGAGATATGAAACAGTTATACAGTGGACCCCCGCATACCGTATGCATCGCATAACGTTCAATCCGCATACCGCTCACTTTTATCGCAAAAATTTTGCCTCACATACCGCTCAAAAACCCGCTCACCGCTCTTCGTCCGAGACGCGTCCAATGTGCGCCCTTAGCCAGCCTCACATGTGCCGCCGGTGGCATTTTTTACCAGCCAGCCTCCGCGGTAACATCCAAGCATACAATCGGAACATTTCGTATTATTACAGTGTTTTTGGTGATTTTATCTGCAAAATAAGTGACCATGGGCCCCAAGAAAGCTTCTAGTGCCAACCCTACAGCAATAAGGGTGAGAATTACTACAGAGATGAAGAAAAAGATCATTGATAAGTATGAAAGTGGAGTGCGTGTCTCTGAGCTGGCCAGGTTGTATAATAAACCCCAATCAACCATCGCTACTATTGGTGGTACAGCTGCTGCTGCTGCTGCTGTACCACCGTCAGCTGCTGCTGCTGCTGTAGCACCGTCAGCTGCTGCTGCTGCTGTACCACTGTCAGCTGCTGCTGCTGCTGTAGTACCATCTGCTGCTGCTGTAGCACTGTCAGCTGCTGCTGCTGTTGCTGTAGTACCGTCTGCTGCTGCTGTAGTACTGTCTGCTGCTGCTGTAGCATCGTCTGCTGCTGCTGCTGTTGTACCACCATCAGCTGCTGCTGCTGCTGCTGCTGTAGTACCGTCTGCTGCTGCTGTAGTACCGTCTGCTGCTGCTGTAGCATCGTCTGCTGCTGCTGTAGCATCGTCTGCTGCTGCTGTAGCACTGTCAGCTGCTGCTGCTGTAGCACTGTCAGCTGCTGCTGCTGTAGCACTGTCAGCTGCTGCTGCTGTTGTACCACCGTCAGCTGCTGCTGCTGTAGTACCGTCTGCTGCTGCTGTAGCATCGTCTGCTGCTGCTGTAGCACTGTCAGCTGCTGCTGCTGCTGCTGCTGCTGTAGCACCGTTGTTGGTGTGGCTTATTGAGAATACCAAGAAACAATTAACCCCAGAGGATTTGCCACCCAGGATAACCCAAAAAAGTCAGTGTCATCGAAGACTGTCTAACTTATTTCCATTGGGGTCCTTAATCTTGTCTCCCAGGATGCAACCCACACCAGTCGACTAACACCCAGGTGAACAGGGAAAAATGCCTGGAACTAGTGCTCATATTGGTGAATTTAAAGCCAGCAAAGGTTGGTTTGAGAGATTTAAGAATCGTAGCGGCATACACAGTGTGATAAGGCCTGTTCTGGAAGAAAATGCCAAACAGGACCTACAGTACTCAGGAGGAAAAGGCACTCCCAGGACACAGTGTTTCATCAGTCATTGCTGCATCTTCAATAAAGGTAAGTGTCATTTATTCTTCATTTAGTAGAGTAGCACATGCACAATATATATTGTGCATGTACTACTCTACTATTGTGCATGTATCCTTCTCTTTGTGTGTAGGAAAATGTATATTTCATGTGGTAAAATTTTTTTTTCATACTTTTGGGTGTCTTGCACGGATTAATTTGATTTCCATTATTTCTTATGGGGAAAATTCATTCGCATACCGATCATTTCGCATAACAATGAGCCCTCTTGCACGGATTAAAGTTGCTATGCGGGGGTCCACTGTACAAGGATATACGTGGAGCGCCTGGAGGATGTTTCAGGGGTCAATGCCCCCTCGGCCTAGTCTATGACCGTGCCTTGCAGTGGATCAGGGCCTGACCAGACTGTTATTGCTTCCTGCACACAAACCGACATACGAACCACAGCCCTGCTGATCAGGTACTGACTTTAGGTGCCTGTCCAGCTCCCACTTGAACACAACCATGGGTCTACTGGTAATCCCCCATATGTATACTTGGAGCAAGTTGAACAATCTTAGGTCCCTAACACTTATTGTGTTGTCTCTTAGTATACTCATGGTACCCCTTCTTTTCATTGGGAGGATGTTGCACTGCCTACCAAGTGTTTTGCTTTCATAGGAAGTGATTTCCATGTGCAGATTTTGGATTAGTCTCTCTAGGATTTTCCAACTGTATACAACCTCTCCTTACTTAGCGACGTACTTGTTTACTGACGCCTCGGACTTACGACAGGCTCTCTGATCAGTATTTATACATAAATAATGTACACCTACCATCCGACTTACGACCGAGTTCGGTTCCGAGAAACCGGTCGTAAGTCAAAATGGATGCAAGTCGCACTTTACTACTGAATATCAACATCACATTTTTGTAATGACTATTTTATTGTTTTATTTTGGTATTTCATGTTTTACTTTACTTTTTATGCTGTTAGTACTGTATTTTATACTGTAAGGTTTAGGATAAACACTGTGTACAACACAAATAGTTGTTTATTTCCCAGAAATTTGACAAAAAAAAAAAAAAAAAAAAAAAAAAAAAAAAAAAAAACACGGTTGTAAGTCGAGTGGTCGTAAGTCGAGCAGGTCGTAAGTCAAGCAGGTCGTAAGTCGAGCAGGTCGTAAGTCAAGCAGGTCGTAAGTCGGATGGTAGGTGTATATAAGAGCTGATTTCCTCTATTCTGTTTATTTCAATATACAGTACATTACTGTATAAACATTTAAAAATACATATACCAGAAATGTTATAAATGGTGCAAAGGTGACATTAAAACAATTGATCAACAAACAAAAAGAGATAGTAGAGGGCAACGAGTGACTAGTTCCCTTAAGGTTTACTATACAAATAGTAGAAGTCTAAGAAATAAGATGGATGAGCTAAGATTACTTGCAAGTGCAGGTAATATAGATATTACTGCTATAACAGAGACCTGGTTCAGCTTGAAGGATAAAGAAATGCCTTCTGAATGCAGCATACAGGGTTATAAAGTATTCCACACTGATAGGGTCAACAGGAAGGGTGGTGGAGTGGTGATGTATATCAGAGATAATTTAACCCTTAACCCTTTGAGGGTTTTCGTCGTACTAGTACGTCTTACGCGTAGGGGTTTTTGACGTACTAGTACTCATAAATTCTAGCGGCCTCAAATCTAGTGGGAGAAAGCTGGTAGGCCTTCATATGAAAGAATGGGTCTATGTGGTCAGTGTGCACAGTCTAAAAAAAATCCTGCAGCACACAGTGCATAATGAGAAAAAAAAAACTTTGACCATTTTTTTTGAATAAATCAGCGACTTTGCAGTGTATTTTCGTATGGTATTTATTGTTGTATTCTAGTTTTCTTGGTCTCATTTTATAGAATGGAAGACATATTACAGAAATAGAGATGATTTTGACTGTTTTACAAAGAAAGGTGCCTTGAAATTGAGCTCAAAGTAGCAGAAATGTTCGATTTTTACCAAACTTCAAAAGTAAACAAATCGTGCCAAGCGTGCAATACACGTCAACTGGTGAGTCTAATATTCTTTCACAAGTGCACCAATAATATTTATACCATTTTTTACACTAATGCAGTAGTCTGCATAACAGTAAATCTTATATTTTTTGTGAAAATAAAAATTCAAAGTGGAAAGCAAAAGAATATAAGAGGGGCCTTGAGACGTGAATAATGACTAGAGGAAATGTCATTTTAGTGCCAGGAATGTCTTTCTTGTTTATTCTGGACCCTATTCGGAAATTGGCATCTTTTGAAATTTGTGTGAAATTGGCAAAATTGCTAAATTCTGACCACTGTACTGGATAGTTGAATTTCATAAATGAGTGGTTTCTTGCACCCATTCGATAGAAAAAATGGAGTTCTAGCGAAATATTCATGTTTTTTGTCGACTAGTACAGTGAAATTGGCCGAAAATGGGGCTCAAAGTGGGCAAAATCGCCGATGCGTAAACATCGCCGAGACCGCTAACTTTGCGAGAGCATAATTCCGTAAGTTTTCTATCAAATTTCAAACTTTTGGTGTCTTTATGATCGGGAAAAGATTCTCTATCTTTTCATAAGAAAAAATAATTTTTTTTTTTTTTAAATTTGGCCGACCCTGAGAACGAGTTTCGGAGAGGGCCTGTCGACCCTCAAAGGGTTAACCCTTTGACTGTCGAAGGGCCCAATCCTGAAGTTGCTCCTGGTGTCGCAAAATATTCGAAAAAAAAAAATTATTTTTTCTTATGAAATGATAGAGAATCTTTTCCCGATTGTAAAGACACCAAAAAAACGAAATTTGATGGAAAACTGACGGAAAAACGCTCTCGCGAAGTTAGCGACTTCGGCGATATTTAAAAATCGGCAATTTCGCCCACTTTGAGCCCTATTTTCGGCTAATTCCGTTATTCCAGTCAACCAAACTCATAACTATTTCTTCAGAACTCTATTTTTTCTATCGATTGAGCACAAGAAACTGCCCATTTACCGATTTCAACTACCCAATAACATGGTCAGAAATTTGCAATTTGGCCAATTTCACGAAAATTAAAAAATACGACAATTTCAAAATAAGGTCCAGAATGAACAATGCAGACATTCCTGGCTCTAAAATAAGATTTTCTTTGTTCATCAGTCATGTCTCCAGGTCCCTGTGATATTACTCTTGCTTTTTATTTTGAAATTTTATTCAAACAAAAAATAGAAGATTTACTGTTATGCAGACTACTGCAATACTGTAATAATTGTAAAAATTACATCAACCCATTCATGACTGCGTATTAGAATAGCTATTTGGACATTTATTGGAAAATGACATCATTTGTTTACTTTTGAACATCGGCAAAAATCAAACATTTCCTGTACTTTGTGCTCCATTTCCAGGTTCTTTTTATAGTAAAATTAATCAAAATCACCTCCATTTCTATAATATAGTTTCCATTCTATCAAATGAGACCATGAAAACGAGAATACAACCACAAATACTATACGAAAATAGACCACAAAGTCGGCATTTTAATTAAAAAAAACGGTCGGAGTTTTTTTTTTCTCATTATGCACTGCGTGCTCCAGGATTTTTT